GAAGGAACAGAAAGAAAAGAAGGGGACGAAAGCATGCCGAACACGTAGTTCAAGCCAAAGAAACAACATTCAGGACTTTACAGATGAAATATAACTTAGGAATCTCATAGAATGTCGCAGCTATAAGCAGATAATGAAGAAGAAGAAAAAAAATCAACACTTGATGACATAATTATAAAAGGAGGAATGAAGAAAAAATGTCTTTAATTTGATGGTCCAAGCTTTTTCAGTTCTGGCTACCTAATCATTTTCTACCAACATGTGTAAATGCAGAAGATTTGATACTTGTACGGTAATACTATGGCTTTTTTTTTCTCGCTAATGCGCTTCGGCTTGATGTGGAAAGTGAGCTCTCCTAATCCTTAACACATTGAAACTTAGTTCTTTACTTTTAACACATCGAAAAAATCATTGTATATTATTAACTTGTGTGTTAGGAACTTCAGAAAAGACTGAACTGAATATATGTTACTTGGGAATTATTGCCATTTGTAACTTGCAAGCGGATGTTTTGGTGAAGGGTGCTTGTTTGGGGGGAGGGGTGATTTTATACTGGACTGTGGAAAAAACTGCATAATTAGAAGGGTACAAAGAACTGGCCAGATATCTGTGTTCCTCCATCCATCCCCCTTAATTTCTTCAATCTCTTTTGGATTAGCTGTGAATGGTTCAATTCACCTCAGGTTAAGAGCAAAGAATGCATTTTCATGTTAGAAAGGTACTTTCTTTTATTTCTTTGTTTGTTTTTGGCTAAGGAGAGATATTGGGCTGAATTACATTTCTAAGGCTTAATATCATGCTCTTAGATGTTTCCAGCTCCTTGTTGGAATATCAGGAAATTTTGGTACCAAAATCTGAGTGCTGATGTGCTTGCACTCCTTAGTACGCAGAATGGGCCATTGTTCCTTTTGGATTCTGTAATGGTATTTTGCATCACAAAAATAAGAAACTTATGAATTTTTTTTTGTTTTTCTCCCAGTTGTTGAGACGAGATGAGGCATTAAATGGTATTCTTATAAGGCCCAGGCGTCCCCGTGCCGTGGTGCTTTGCCCCACTAGGGAGCTTTGCGAGCAGGTTTGTATGACTTATATGCAGTTTAATTATTTGGCTAACCTTGACGAGAGAACATGTTTCTAGTTGATTAAAGCAAGATGGGTGATGCAGGTATATCGGGTTGCGAAGTCCATTAGTCACCATGCCAGGTTCAGGTCTACCATGGTAAGTGGGGGTGGACGTTTAAGACCCCAAGAAGATTCCTTGAACACCCCAATTGACTTGGTAGTGGGAACCCCTGGCAGGGTTCTTCAGCATATTGAGGAGGGTAACATGGTTTATGGTGATATCAGATACCTGGTAATTTTTTTCTGTGATAAATCTTTTAATGATTTCATAAGTACTTGTTTTCTAATCATAAGTAGTTGTTAACAAGCTAGTTCTTGTTAGGTGTTGGATGAAGCAGATACTATGTTTGATCGAGGCTTTGGTCCTGATATACGCAAGTTTCTTGGGCCACTTAAGAATCGTGCATCAAAACATGATGGTCTAGGATTTCAAACTGTTTTGGTCTCTGCAACAATGACAAAGGTACAGTTCAAACTGTCTTTACTGAATTAAGTGTGACTGAAAGGGGGGGAAAAGGCATCTTGGAAAATTTAATTGATAGATGGATGATATTGGTACACATTAACAACATATCTTATATCCTGAGGAGTGCTGGGTTAAAGATGCTTGCTGTAGATACTTATCAGCGGTAATTTTTTAGATGAGGTGATAGATATTTTAGTAACTTCTTGTTTCCTAGAAATTGGCTGTTCATTGAATATGGAGAGTCATGTTACCCTTGTTTCTTTTTTTTCCCCAGAGAAAAATGTTTCTGTTAAAAAAATGATTGTGTCTTGAGCAGAAAGTGCCTTGGTCAAACAGTTCTCCATGATGATTTTGTCAGTTCAATCACATTTCTTACCAAGGTTTTTTTTTTTTTTTTGGAAATAATATGGGTATGGTTCTGCAGGCAGTGCAAAAACTGGTTGATGAGGAGTTTCAGGGGATTGTACATCTGCGTACTTCAACACTGCATAAGAAGATTGCTTCTGCTCGTCATGATTTCATCAAAATCTCTGGTTCAGAAAATAAGCTGGAGGCACTGCTACAGGTATACTTTCTTCATGTTTTATTGTAACTTGACTGTTGTGTGATAATTGACCTGAGTAGAACTTCATGAATATGAATGAAAAACCTTACAGTAGTGGCACTGACTGATCATATGTTGTTCTGATCAGCTACCCCTTACAGATTGAATTGCAATAAGGTTGAGTTAGTTATGTGTTCTATTGGTGTTGATTTTTCTTAAATTTTTCTTTGCTGTTTTTGACGGAGAGCACAAACCCCGAACTATTGCCGTAAGGAAATTGACTTAAGATTGGAACTCCTGTTGGTCAATTATGGCTAGGAGAAACAAGAGAAGAGAATGCATAAGGATGTTTCATTTTGAGATGAATGGGACTAATGTATTTTAGATGGGACTAACAAAGGTACTGTAGAATTAGGGACAGGATACCTTTCAGAAGTAGGAACAATGCTGACGGGTATCTTTGCATATATTGAAGTCAACATGTTCAGAATATTAAAAAAAGCACTTCTTTTATTGCATTTAAAAATGCAATGACTTTTATTCCAAGGGTAGGTGAAATGCAATGGAAAGATGTTCCTGTCGTTTGGTAATATGCCTAAGTAACGGATAAAGAATGACATTCTTTGTCATGGATAAAAATGACATGAAGGAATCATGTTTACAAAGGTATATCTGATAAAGAAATATCTCTTGTTGCAGGTATGAGGTGTGTTTTTCTTATCAAAGTAATAATTTCTGCACTGAAGCATATGTTAAATGTTGCCATACCACTTTCCTCTCGAAGCTCCCAAATCAGCTTGAGTCTGATAAAATGTTGCTTAATACAGGTTCTTGAGCCAAGTTTATCTAAGGGAAATCGAGTGATGGTATTCTGCAATACTTTGAACTCTAGCCGTGCTGTGGATCACTTTCTGCATGAAAATGGAATCTCTACTGTCAATTACCATGGAGAGGTGCCAGCAGAGGAAAGGTGAGATGGAAGAAGGTTCTATCATCTGTCAATTTCTGCACTGTTTTCAACAGTAGGAAGAAGATAAAGAACTACAAACTGTTAGCATCTGTTCAAGCAATTACAGTTGGAGTCAGAATTAATTTGAAACCCTTGCTTTCACTCGAAACATATCTGATTTTCTTCCTGAAAGAAATAGTGGTAAAAATGGAGAATTTTTGTTCCTATGCACTGAAAGGGTGGTTCAGCATGTTGAGATCATTGACAGATCTTAAATGTTCTGTTATGTCGATAACTAACTCTCTAGGTTATAATTAGTTATCAAACAAATTTCTGAGAAAAAGCTTTTTTAAGTAGTGGTACAAAATTGAGATTTCTTTGATGAATATAGATTTCTATAAATCTGTATTTCATTTTGGGAAGTTATGGCGGTCATGTTTCTGATCAGCCTCTGTGAAGATTTTTATATCTAAGAATCTCGTAAAATATGGCCTGTAATAGCTCTCCATACTCCTTTCTTTACTGGTATTTTCTCTATATAGGGTTGAAAACCTGGAAAAGTTCAAGAGCGAAGATGGTGATTGCCCCACATTGGTCTGCACTGACTTGGCTGCTAGGGGACTGGACTTGGATGTTGATCATGTTATCATGTTTGATTTTCCACTGACCTCTGTAAGAATTTGTGGTGTGTTTGTCATTTGCACTTGCCCTTGTGCATTTCCTTCCCTCCACCTGAAAGTGGTGCTTCCTTTCCCTTAAAATTTCAGATTGATTACCTCCATCGCACTGGAAGAACTGCTCGTATGGGTGCAAAAGGTATGTAGGCTTCAGTTTTTTTTCACTGTCAAAAGTTGAATTGAGATCCCGGATGGCATCAATTATGAATACTGTTTATTGTTCAATGTACATGGCATGGGGACTCAACTAACTAGAAGTTTTGAGCAAAAATCAGAATTATCCTATGTCTACTTATGCAGTTATGCATACACCAAATGTAATTTTTCTGTATAAGCACTAAAACCTGTTCACTGGTCTCACTCTAACAGGGAAAGTAACAAGTTTGGTTGCAAAGAAAGACCAGATTTTGGCCACTCGTATTGAAGAGGCCATATTAAAAAATGAGAGCTTGGAGTCTCTTTCTGTAGGTAGTGTTCAAAGAGACATTGCCAGGGCACGCATAAATGAGCAGAAGGGAAAGAGTGTAAAGTTGTTAAAAGCTTCAAAACATAAGAAGACTGCTACAGCTGCTTCAGCTAAATCATCCGGTGCTGATAGCAAAGCAAAACCCAAAAAAGGGTTGTCCAAAAATGGTGCTGGGGGCAAGGTAGATCTTACAAAAAGGACATTCAGAACAAGTCCTGGTAGCAAATCTGTGACGGCAACTGCTAAAGTTTCTAAAAATTTTTCTGGGGCAAACAGCTCAAAAGCCAAGGTTAGCCATAAAGAATTTCAGGGCCGCAAACCTGATGTATCAAGTTCTAGATCAAAACTAAATGTAGTGGGATTCAGGGGCAGAAGTTCCTCTTCAAGTCAGCCTGAAGGTTTGAAGCTCAGTTGATTTGTAATCAGTATATTAGAGTTCATTGAGCCATTCCTCAATTGTAGTTTATATGCATAGTGAGTTTCGATTCCTTCTTCGTGATCTCTAGGTCCTTGTGTTTTTTGAAAGATTGCGACAGAAGGCTTGAGATGCGCGAGTGGAGATTTCACTACCCACCAACAGCTATTAGTTCTGTTGGGATGACCATTTGATCTTAATTGAGATGATAGAGGACATATTTTCAGGACAGGGTCGAAAGCTAATGCGCTAACAAATTACTTGAATTAGAGTAAAGCTTGCTAAACAGATTTTTGCAGGCTACCTGGTCTGTGTAGCATATGAATGATTATGCATTGGCTAGTGATATTTGAACGCGATGTTGTTCCATCAAGAAAATTAAATGACATATTATCCAATTCCATTGAAGTTCATCAAACAATTATAAACGCTATCAGCATTCCATTTCCTCCTATTGCTTTTGGAAATTTGCCTTAGATATCATCATTTCAATGGAAGAGCAGGAGGAGCCTTGGCAGGTGAAACCAAATTTCCTGCTGTGTCATATATAATGACTCCAGAGAAATCTGGGAGTTGGCACTTTCCTCCCATCATCACATTCTTCCTCCAGAGTGATGCTTCACCACTATAAGTGCTTCCATCAACATCTCCAAAGTGGTATGCTTGAATCCTTTCAGGGTTGAGTTGTATAAGAGGGTCTGGATCACCAAAACCATAACAACCTCTCCATTTGCGCCATTTCCGCAATTTCCTGGAGTGAGAAGCGCACATGAATAATGCAAAAGCACACAAAAATAGAGACCCAATGGCAAGGCCCACCTGGGAGGTGCTGCTACTCAGATGATGGTGTAAGGGTGTATGTCTAGCCATGAGAAATCTGATGGTGCTACTGCTGCAAATATAAATATGTTTATATAGTTTTAGGCAAGCCAGTTGAGGGTCAAGTTTTGAGGATTTGTTGGACAATTTGGTTTAAATTTCTGACTTTCGCAGTTGAATAATGGCACTGGTACAACAGAATCTCGTGGTTTTGGTGGTTTTGGTTTGGTGTGTCAAGCATAAGGTTAAGGCAAAGCAAGTTACATGGCAATTGTATTAGTTAGAGCAGTCGACTCATCTAAACTTACCTAGTTATCTATAGCACAGCAAGAAATGACAGGAAAAAAGAAAAATTAATGAGTTAGTGGTTAAAATGTTATGGTTATATGATTAACTTTTGAACTTATAATCACGTTGTTATTTCATTCATACATTCAATTTTACAATCAGACGAAACAAATAAATTAAATGATAAATCTACTTGATATAATGGAATCACCACAAACATTCAAACTTTTGAAATTATAATATGTTAGAAACCCTAATTATCAACATGTAAAACTAAAAAAAAAAAAAAAGATACACGTAAATATTTGCACTTTCTAGAGTTTCTACTTTCTACCTGGCTTCATTAATTGAATAGACGTACTGTATTTAGAATTCCGTGTATTAGTAGCTATTCGGCACTGAAATCCGTGAAGTTGATGTATTTCATTTTCTGAAAACCTGGAATTACCGGACTAAGTCTGCCTTCCTGGATCATCCCATGCAACAGATTCTGGACTAAGTCAATTTATAGTGCCAGATTCCACATATAATTATGGCCATAACATCTTCAAGGAGTGTCAACCATGCTCAATGACTTAATTATTTTTCTCTTTCCTTTTTCCCCCTGAACTCGAGCTTGAGTTTAGCTATTTGAGTAGTATTTTGAGTTAATTGAGCTTGTAATACTTGGCTTGAGGCATTCCCGAGCCTGGTAAATTTCTATAGTTTAAATATGAATTCCTGTACTGTTGAAGCTGATATTCAGTTTGTTGACTTGACTTCCCTTAAAACCCTAATCTCCTACCTGCAGAACAACAATATGCTCGACAACATCTAGGAAATACATTGAGGTTAGGATTTTGTTCTGTCAATGATACCACTTAAGTGAAGGAATGCTGAAAGCTGTTATGAACTTACGCAATAGGCAATAACTGTGCTTAGAAGCTCCAAATGTTAAACCATAAAGTTCTCTAGAATTTGCTGTCTGATATTTGTTTCTCATTCTTCTGTTCAATTATTAGGAGCATGCTTCGAATTTATTCTCAATGGAAACAGAACATGTTGCATGTAGACAGTTTCGTCAGATAGGTATGTAACAAAGAAGATACTATATGATATGTGACATGGGAGAATGCAGACAACTGTCGTTGTGTAGATTCATCATTCATGATCTAAATAATTGTGTTCGACTTCCACTTTCATAAATTTTTGGTCAAACCCAAAAAAAAAAAGTTTCGCTGGACATTAGTGAGGAATGGGAAGAAGGGATGGCTTGCTTCCATGTGTTCCCTGCTTCACTGAAATAGTGGGCCTACGGATGTACGAGTGTGTTGAAGAGTTGCTATCTTTATTCGGCTGTCTAGGGCCTCTAGTCTCCACACCCTGCCTTCTACCGCTTGGAGTTTCCACTTCAATGTTTTGGCGAGAACTCGAGTTCGTGCACCTGCTGGAAGACGAAGTGTTCTTGTTGCATGTGACTTTATGGATCTGTCTTCTGTCAATCACATTTCCCTGCACGGTTCGGTGAACAAGCACATCTTGGAACAGTATTCAGCCATTGTTATGGATGTGTCAGAAAATGGGCGAAGTAATTGTAAGATATACGCTCCACTCTCTAACTTGTGGCTTGGATCAATTAAAGGTCTAGGTGCCTAGTTAAACGGTGTAAATGGGTAAATTTGTGTGGCTAGTGTTACTGTCCGACAGTAAAGTACAACCCAAGATCATTGAGGCCATAATTGCTGCTGTTTTATATCACTAGATTTCGCTTGCGAATGGTTCTGGATTGGGATGTGGGTAGATTGAATTTGGTTCCTGAAATGATTAAAGAATCAAGAAACCAATCCATTCTTTGGTTTTTCTTCGAGCAGAAGCAAGGGGCTTCCTTTGCAAAAGGTAACACTTCCGTTAGAGAGAAACACAGAAGGCAAAATTTTGAGAGACAAAAGGAGTGAGTAGCGAAGAAATGACCTCTCCAAAACGTTTCCTGTTTACCCTTTTCCGGAACCAATGGAGATTTGCTCAGGACATTGAGCGCGACGAAGCAGGCAAATGTTTTCTCAGAGAACGTGAAGCAATCTTTTCTAATTATGATGGATCTGATATTACACAAATTTCCTTGGTCAATTTAACTTTTTCTTGCTCCACACTTCTTCGCCAGTACAAGTTTCAACAACTAAGATACATGAGAATTCATTCATTGCTGAGCTGTTAGATACTACAAATCTGAGGCCTCACAATGACTCTGATTCATGAAATGGACGGTTCAACCAGAATGAGGATTGCAAAGAGTAGAAGCAATTGAACCATATAATGTTGCCTAAATCTGTACAAAAGTTCCCCAAATATCACTCAATGCTTGGAGATGTCATTCTATCTAAGCTGGGGAACCAAAGAAGATCAGTCACGGACACCTAGAAGAGGCAAGTCAGGAAAGCCAAAAAGCATCAGCTTTGGGTTGAGGACTGCTTTATTAGAGGTTGTGACGTTTTTCCCCACTCCTCGGGGGTACTTTTGACTTCCATTAGAAGTGCAACAACTTCCTTCATGGTTGGCCTTTCAGCTGGCGATGAATTTACACAGAACATTGCAATCCCCAATGTCTGAAGCATTTCTTGCACCATTTGGTCCGGTAATCCCTGGAGCTTTGAATCGAGTATTGTTGCAGCTGGTTCAAAGCTTCCCATCTTCTTCTTTACCCACTCAACAATGTGCATTCCATCTCCAACTTGAGGCTCAATGGCACTCCGACCACTTAAAATTTCAAGCAGAACAACTCCAAAGCTATACACGTCACTCTTCTCTGTTATGTTGGCAGTGTACCCATATTCTGCAATAATGGAACAAACTTTTGTTGATATTTATTGATGATACTAAAAGAGCAATTCAGAGACTATTATCTTGTTCAATAGCGCAAGATGAATGGTTATTTTGTAGAACCCAGTTTACCAAATGATGAAAAACGCTAAACTTTGATGTAACTTCATAAAATGCTCAAAATAGAACACATTCATAAACATCTAAATTCAGCAATTGCGACAGGTAATTAAGCAGAAAGCTATTAAGTACAGGAATAAACTAAAGCTCACTGAGACTTGCCTGGTGCAATATATCCATAAGATCCTGCTATTCTGGACATAGCTTGCTGGTAATTTGGAGAGCTCATTAGCCTTGCGAGTCCAAAGTCTGCCAAATATGCATCATACTTGGAATCCAGGAGAATGTTATTGCATTTAACATCCCTATGAAGAATTGCTGGCACACAATCATGATGAAGGTATGCCAGACCTTGGGCTGCTCCGACTGCAATTTTGTATCTGGTCTCCCAATCTAAATTCCTATTTGTCTGCAAGAGCTGTTGTAAATTTCCATTCGAAATATAGTTGTATAAGAGCAGCTTAACGCTCTTATTAGAACAGTAACCAAGAAGCTTCACTATATTTCTGTGCCTAATGTGTCCCAGGATTTGAATCTCTGCAGCAAATGAATCTAGTGGTTCTTCTTCCTTCTTCGTCTTCCAAAGCTTCTTCACTGCAATCAACTCACCATTTGGCATTTCTGCCTTGTAAACAACTCCTGAACAACCTTTACCAATAATATTTTCATCTCTCAGACACTCCAAGATGCTGTCGATGGTAAAGTTGAGCTTCTGAAATGGGATAAAATTCCATGGATAAGAAAAATCCTCTTCCCTTGATGGAGTCAACATGCCTGAGTGCTTTCTCGACATGTATTTTTGATTCCTCATGACAAGAATCCAAGTAACTACAAGTGCCATCATTACAGTAGTCAGAACTACCGCAACTAAAGCTATGGTTTTAGCAGACTTCAACCTGTTTCGTCCACTTAGCCGTGAAGAACAAGTGAAGCCATCATCAGATTCACAAAGGTTTGGGTTCTCAAGAAAAGAGTTTGAAGTCAGAGTTCTGAAGAATGGTGAGACTGGTATAGGACCTGAGAAATTGTTATATGACACATTCAATGAAGTGAGACTGGTCAGGGAACCCAAAATTGTAATCTTTCCATAAAGCATGTTACGAGAAAGATCAAGTGATTGCAGCTGTCTCAAACCAGACATTGTTTCTGGGAGTTCACCACAAAAATGATTCGAGCTCAAGTCCAAACTAATTGTTAAGCTTGTTACATAACCAACTTCTGGTGGGATTAAACCAGAGAGGCTGTTGTAGCTCAAGTCAAGAAGTGTTAATTTCTGCAGATTCCTAACGGACTTTGGGATTGGTCCACTAAGCAGATTGTTATTCAGTATAAGTTTGTTCAGATAACTGAGGTTACCAAAACTTGAAGGAACCTGCCCAGTGAAGCTGTTTCTACTGAGGTCAAGCTGCTCCAAATTGACAAGCTCACCCAGTTGAGATGGTATTTCACCAGTGAGGTAATTGTTATGCACATCCAACAGCTCAAGAACCGTAACGTTAGCAATTTCAGGAGGTAAACCACCAGAGAAATGGTTCATATATAAGTCAAGAAACACAAGATTTTGCAGCTGTCCAATCTCTTTAGGAATCTGACCAGAAAGCTGATTTTCTCCGAGCCTTAACCGCACTAGAGACTGGCATCTTGCAACACTTCGAGGCACTCCTCCGATTAATGAGTTTCCTAGCAACAAAACTTTGCTCAGCTTCTTCAACCCAAAAATCTCCTCTGGTATTATTCCAGTGAGCTTATTCCTCGAGAGGTCAAGAGCATATAGCTCAGTACAGTTCCCAAAGGAAGCCGGTATGGTTCCTGAAACTGAATTACCCCACAAGAAAAAGCTCTGCAAATATTTCAATTCACCAACTTGCCAGGGAATTGGACCTGATAATTGGTTCTTATCAAGCTGAAGAGCTGTTAAACTAGAGCAGTTACTCAACTGCCATGGAATTGAACCGGTTAGTGCATTATCAGACAAGTGAAGCTGTTCAAGAACCATCAACTTCCCCAGATCAGCTGGAATTTCACCAGACAATTCATTTGTAGAAACATCAAGTATAACGAGTGATGAACAATTTGAAAGCTCGGCCGGTATAGTTCCTGTCAAAGAATTACCCCAAAGAAGCAAGCTAGTAACCTTCTGCAACTTTCCCAATTGAGGTGGGATTGTACCAGTTAGCTTATTCATATGTAAATACAAGTTTCTAAGCTCCGAGCATGACCCGAGCTCAGGGGGCACTGGACCAAACACTTCAGTATCATAAAGGGCTAAAGTCTGAAGATTGATCAGGTTCCCAAATGTAGGCGGTATAACACCCGAAAGTCCAGTAGCCGCAGCCCCAAACGTTGTGAGATTAGTAAGTAGGCCTAACTGTGGAGGAATTTCCCCTGTTAAATGCAGATTTCCCCCAACTCTGAACTGTTGGAGGGATGACAAGGAGCCTAATTGAGCCGGAATGGACCCATTAAGGAGATTATCTTGGAGACAGAGGACTTGCAATGAAGAAAGATTAGCAAGGTGTGGTGGGATTCTGCCTGTTAATCTGTTTGAGTTCAAGAAAAGGAATTGAAGTGAAGTAAGGCTGCCTAGTCCAGGAGGAATAGGCCCAGAAAGAGAGTTGGAAGAGAGGTCTAAAAGGCGAAGATGGGAAAATGCACCATAGGAAGCAGGGATTAGTCCTGAGATGTTAGTAGAGGAGAGATTCAAAAGCTGCAACGAGGACAAAGAAGAGAGCCCTGTAGGCAAAGAAGAAAGGTTGAGAAATGTGTTTGGAAGAGAGACTGAAATGACTCTTCCTTGAGGAGAACAAGTTATTCCTTCCCATGAACATGGAGTTGGGCTTGAGGGGTTCCAAGAAGAAAGCACAGATGATCTAGACTTGGTAAAAGGGTCAGAAGCTGAGAGAAGAGAAACTAGAGCCTGGCCATCAGGTGAAAGAGAAGTCACTAGTGTTCTAGGACTGACAATGAAACCATAACAGAAGCAAAAGGCGAAGAAAAACGAAGCTTTTGAGGTCAAAAAATGAACTCTTCTCTCCATTTGAGCCCCTGAAAAAACTGGTTTAGCAGTGATAGTAGTCAAGAATATTAATCAAGAATGGGACTAACAGACAAAAAATGGTGGTGAAAGTCCACTCCTCAAGGGAACAGCATGCATGTGAAAGCCTCTATTGCTGTAGAATGGGGTGATGAGGTATGCTTCAAACACACACTAGGTGGTGCTGATCAAAAACCATGCATGTGAACAAAAAGTAGTCCTTAATAAAGAAGCAGCACTATTTCAACTGTTTGATTATTCATGCAGAAGGTAGCATGCTTACCGGAGATAAGTCTCTCCTCCCACGTCCGCCGTTTCTGGCGGTGCAGCCGGTGAAGGTGCTAGCGCTGGTGGTGGTGCACAGTAAAAACTTATGTCTCAGCTCCTGAAGATTGTAGTACTGGTGTAGCTTTAAAGTTGGCCATTTGGGGTTTTCTTCTATCTTTTTCCGGCGGTATCCAGGCTAGCTTTCCTGCAGTATTTAGGCTAGCTTTTGCGTGATGGCTGGTTGGAAGTGGTGGTGGAAGGAGGCGACTGCCAGAGTTCTAAGCTTATCCTTCTCTTCTTTCTTTCTCGGCGTAACAATTGATTGAGAGTTTCAACTTTCAAGATGAGTGAAGACCAAACGTTGGGTTTAAATGAAGATAGTTAATTAGGGCGCCAGTGATTAGTTGTTTATATTAAAACTTGAGATGCATCGGATAGCCAAAATTACCCTTTCGAAGTTGCATGGATGTACCTAAGTTAATTAAGTTCTGTAAGGAGACTATTGTCATTCCAACCCCCCAAAAAAAAAGTGAGAGAGAGACACTATTGTCAAGCTATTTTTCCTTTTCATTTTGCACAACATCTTGCAAATCATACATTTTTCCTTTAAAGGGCCATTTTGTTTTTTTTTTTCCCCTGATACTAATTAAAGTTCTTTAGATTCTACAAATATGAGTTGAGCGTGCAGAAAACGACCTAAGTTTATTTTGTCAAAGCGCTAATCTTAAGCTAAGTTTTTGTTTCTTATAAATTAGAGTTAACAAGAATTCCAAATATAGAATGCAAATATAACTTTTTGTTTCCTAAAAGTACCCTTCTTCAACCATCCAATGCATTAGCAATTTACGAAAATGTTCTCAAAGAAACGAGTTTGTTTGGACAACAAGAATTTGGAATAAAAATTTCAGATTTTGTTTTGCTTGCATCATACACATAATTCCCAATCATCTTTTTATCTTACATACATCACATCACAAAAAGTGCTACAGTAACTGGATTAAATAAATCATTCAAATAAATTCTTATCCAAACAAGTTGTCTTTTTCTCTAACAAAGTATTGCTTTTGGTTTAGTAAGGATAGAATAAATATGCTGTGAAGGGTCAAGTTCCAAGAGCTTTTAGCATGCAAATTAATCATTTTAAACCCATCTATCCTTGTTAATTTTAGGTTGTACTGTGCAAAGATTCTAAGATGGTATTAGTACCAAAGATTTCAGAGTCCGTTGCCACTGGGAGGAGAGATATATACGTACATATATATATATATATCTATATGTGCATATACAGGAGAGTACTTGGCAGAATGCCTAGGGAAGAGGAGATTAGTTTTGATGATACAGCAGAGAGGCAGCTTATGGGGTATTGTGAAAGTTAAAAGAGGATTAAAATAGAACTGGATTAAACAAACTACAATAAATGTCCTTTTGCTGGGCTATATAATAAGCACATAAACAAAGTCTATTCTTCCTTTACAGGTTACAGTATATACACCACAGGACTAGGATAATAAAGGCAGGGCGTGCATGTAGAGGAAATTTAATTAATGGAGCATCTGTTTCTTTGGGGTTAAAAGTTAGAAAAGCAGCTGTAAATAATTTTCTTCTTAACTGTTATTTAATCACTGTGTTGTGGTAAAATTAAGAAATACTATAAAGAGGGTGATGACTTGATTTCCGAGGAGATATTAGTGGGTGTGCTTTGGGAGTAGGGCTAAAGAAAAATGTACAGTCACATGAGTAAGAATGAGAGAGAGAGAGGACATGTGTAGTAGATTATAGTAGGGCACAATTTACGATTAGTGTGTTGTTAGGGTTTTAAAGATTTCACTGTTTACGTGTTCTAAGCCGCTCTTTATTAGTCTCTACAATTCTGAGTGCATGTATGCAGAATTACAGACTTACAGCCAAAATGCATTAATGTTTGAAAGAACATGCAGCAAACCAAACCATGTTTAAAACTTTAAAGAGAAAAGGAAAATTTTTAAGGGATTGTTAAGAGCTTTAATGGAGGGATTACCATAAGAGCTTTAACGGAGGGATTACATTCTAGTTTTCCACGATAATTTGCTTTCTCTTCCATTTCTTGCGTAGGGCATTGAAGACTGCAGCAATTATGGTTTTTACTTTTTGAGACTGCTTGTACTTTTTGCCAATTCTCGTTTAAGGGTTCTTGGTCTTTCATCTTGTGTTGCCTCGCATAAGATCATAAGTATTATTCTCCTCTGGGGTTTAACTGGCAAGCAAGAAGAAGTGAATATCTTCTTTTGGAGAGAAAAATAAGTAAATAAAGATTAGAACAACTGAACCATTATTATGTTGTCGAGTGTGGTCCAGTCAGTCCCCTGTCAAAGGCACAAGACCAGATCTAAAGGGTTCCAAGATACACCGAAATGGGCTATAAATGTGCATCAACTGATTTTATCCGATCATACTCTAATACTATATTCCAAAGTTCAATCGAAAAATCTTTCAGTTCTGAGGTTTGACCAACAATTATTCATGTGGTTCAGCTTATCTGAATTGGCAGAAACCCCAACTTTTAGCCTAATCATAGACATGTAGTACATTGAAGACTTGCACTTTCATGACTTTTTAAAGACCACGCAAAGAGATTCTTCAAATGCTGGTGGCATCAGCGAGTCCACTAAAATGCCAACATGAAGCCGAATGCCTACACTAAGAACCAATTTAAACATGTTTTCGGCTATGTTGTAAGCAGAAAACTCTCTTGCTGTCTCTTGCAGAGTGGAAGTGTGAAACATCTAGTGCTCTATGTAAAATCATTGCATTGTAGACCAAGGTATAGCTACTAGCTAAAATTTGTGAGACAAACTCGCTTCACAATTGATAAAATCAAGCTTCAAACGGATGTAAACTCACAAGATTATCGGTAGGTTCTATGAAATTTAGGAATGTTCTTGAATTTTTGGCTTTGAACTACAGTTTAGTCCTCTTTTTTTTTTAGATTACAACCTTGAGAGCCAAAAATTTTGAAAATAAAATTTTGTTTTTCATTAAATTGAAACCATAATATTTTTGTCTCGTGCATGTAAGTATTTTATCTATATTATGTGCAGTTGCTATTCTGTCAATTTATGACTGATTTCTTTGATTTCTTAAGCAAAAAGTCATTTTTTTAAGCCAAAATACATGCAAGTAAGTGATAAGTTGGCACCCCTTTTGGCGGGCAAAGAAAAAAAGCTTATGCCTCATGGCATCCCCTTGTGCAGCTAATGATGTTCCATTTGGTCTGACTTTGCTCACTATTCTTTTATCAACTTTGTTTTGTTTCTGTTTTATGGAGCCCCAAACCTATACTTAGCATAGGCAGTAGTCACTCAAATTAGCTCATTGAGAATCTATCTCGCTTTGATTAACTGAAGAATAATGCAAAAGTAAGCCATTCAAAAACAAGCATGAAGAAGACAAAAATGAAATAGAGCTTCCGAGGAGGACCAGGAAAGACTAAACAATGCTCAATATTTCCATGCTTAGTAGCGTTATTTAAAAGAAAATGTGGCCAAACATTTCTGACTTTGGGGCATCTTTCTGGAATCCTGCTTTGAGCCAAGAGAAGTTAGATGACTTGTAGAAGCAAACAAAGTTGTCAATAGTGCTCTTGTTGGATGCAAGCAATGGATACTGATAAACAAAAACATGTGAATTCAATCCTCCTAAGTGAGACATAAGCGTAGAGATTAAACAAAGAGAAGACAGCAAGAAGTTTCCACTGAGCTAGTTGAAGTATCCAACGAATAATCTGCTTTCCTTGTACTCCATCTTAATTACTACAAGATTCTTCAAGCGTTCAAATAAAAAGGGATGCCTATTTTCAGGCATCATTAAATGTCCATTTGATACTGTCATCACTCTGTATGAAGAGAATACGACTTATTAGCTCTTATTCAAAGAGTAGGGATAATAAGTTATTTATCTGCTGAACATGCCATTTGAATGGAGATGTCTGCAACAAGGCTAATGCAAAATTGTGCCAGATGGTAAAATCATAAGGTACAAGAAATTAATGCATTATTTTCTCTTCCACTTCCACCCTTCTGGGGCTATGTCAATGATGCCTTACAACTACAAGACTCATAGTTGGAAGCACATGCCTTAGTGCAGACTACAAAAATTTTGGCATCCTAAGATGAAGGAATAATCTTTACAGAAGATAGCCTGAGGTAAAAGCACATCAAGAAGTCACTCTGTGGACAAATAAATAGCCATGAAGAAGAGGCTATAAGCAAGAGAAACGGATGGTAGTACGAATACAAACACCTGATTGATTGCGTAAATAATCAAGCAGAATTTAGTAGGGCCTATCCTCTGGATATCCTGACAATTAAATTGCTTAGCTCCTCTAATTTCAGATGGCTGGTGATTTAGATCTTGTAGTGCCCCGTTATAAACTTTATGATTTACCTTGATCATGACCATAAATGAAGCTGCCCAAGTTGAAATTTGCTTTCAAGCGCATCATGGTTGAGGGGAGGAAGTGGTACAATCTGTGGAGGCTTCTGTTGGCCTTTCCCAATTGGGTTCCTTCTGCTTTCCAACTGTGAAACTATGGGTTTGGTACACGATCTTTATCAAATATAAACCATTTCCAATTTGCTAGAATATTTTCTTCATCTTCAAAAGGTATTGAGTTGGCCGGAAGAGGATCTGATTTTTGGGCTGCTGAAACGGCTGGCATCTTCTGTCTGTACTTCTTTGCCATCTCTTCAGCTTCAGCAAATACTTTCTGGTAAAAAATAAAATCCAACATCAACCTAATAGCGGAAACATTAAATACAGATGCAGTCTGCCATACATTTGGACGCACAGTACACAATTGAAATGCACTTTCAAAATAGTCGTACCTCCTTGTTTGACAGAAACAACCCTGGCTCACTTTCAAGTTCAGCTATACTGCATGAGATAAGATTAAGAAAAAGTGAGCTAGACA